TTAAAAAGCAAAATTCAAAGTTATGTCCCATCATGAACTATTCCTTTTTGCTTTTTTCTTTAACCAATAATACAAATAATTACACGACAGCAACATCACCATTCGCCATGCTCCTTCAGCATCAGTTGTGCATTTGTGAATTACAGAAATAAAATTCACAGAAAAATATGATAACCTTCATGATTCATTCTTCATTATTAAAGATCATTAAATGGAACATGCATGATACACACTACAGTAACAATAATTGTCTTATCACATTTTAAAATCTTGAGTGTAAGATTTCTTGAGTAAGTATTTTAAAAAGAAGCATTTTAACATAAAATATATCTCTTAATAATTCTTTTCCTAAATCATCTCCAATTTCATTTGTGTGTAAAACACCTTGAAATGGTCTCAGTCGGTTAAGCTTTAGAACTAAACCCGCTTCAGTGCTTCTGTGGACATGTGCAGTTAACTGGTTTCTACAGACTTGTCAGAATCGTTTTGTGTGTGCTAAGTGAGTAAGGTATTACAGTGAAGCACACACTTAATGCTGACTTTAAATACTGCTATTTCCCTGCGATCACTTTGAGTTCGATGGCTGTCTCTTCAAGCTACACAATTACGGTGAGCAATTTTGTTAGTGGGTGCCTTTATTTATTTATTATGTGCCTCTTCTTTTAAGCATTTGGGATTTCTTTTCGAAAAGCCTCAGATATTATGACTAAAACCGAGCACGGCAGAAAGACATTGAATTAAAAGTGCCTATGGAGCAGGAGCAGCATTGCAGTTTATTAAGTGCACAACCTACATATGCTCATATTCAAATAAAAACACCTACTGTTTATTTTGCTAAAACCCGCAAAGAGCACAACAATGAGTCGAGAGCCTCAAAGGGCAAAAAGAGAGTGAGACAGCGGGTGGATGGGGGGGCGGTGTTTGAGCGTGACGGCCCACCCTCTGGTGTTCACTTTTAACTCTCATCTCCTCTTCAGCTCCACTCTTCCTTATACTCTTTCTTCATGGTGGGGAAAATGGGAAAAGACGCCACTCCCCGAGTGTGGAAATGTGACTGGGAAACAACCAGGGGGCCATGGATGCAGGTACTGAGCAAACAAGACAGCAGAGGGACTAAATTAGGCCAAGAGAGGGTCCATGAGTGTGCTGTGCTTCAAATCTCTCTTTGTGTATCTTATACCTTGTGCACATAAAAATCACACGATTATTTTTCTTCAAAAAATAATCATTGATTTGATAAGTGGACACAGACTCTCTCTAAAACTTTGAAGACATGACACTTATTCTCCCTCATGTGTCAGGTATAAGGGAGAATTGACTTTTTTTGTGTGTTTTGTGTGTAAATCTCATGAAATCAAACGTTAATACATTTGTGAAATCCTAAAGCAAAATAAAGGCATCTTTAATTTTGAGACACTTCTTGTTGTGCAATATCCCAGGAAATAAGAGTGTGGAGTTTCTACTTGAACTGACGTGATCTTTTGACTTTTCCTCTCAGTGTGATTTATAGAAAACACAGTGATTAGCTCTAAAAAAAAAATTGTAAGTTTTCTCAAGTTTAGTGTTGGAAGTGTCAATGTTTATGTATGTATGGTTGGTTAATCTAAAAAATATATAAGATAGCATGGGCAGTGTATGTGAATATGTTTCAATTACAATAATTATTTATTAACCA